CTTCGTTGCAGATGAAGCATCAATAGCATCGTGGTCGACGACAGAAGAGCCTTTTAGTACCGAAGAAGAGGACGCGATAGTGACGTTGGTAGTAGTTGTAGCCGGTATCATTGTTGCTATAGTGATACTTTTTTCAATGGGATTATTTATCGACTGCAAGCATCAGTACGTAGAAACGATAGGCATATAATATTTAAGTAAAGTTCTTCCCATGAATTCTATTACGTATGACTTTCACGGTAACGGACAGAATAATACTTCATAAAATCGTTGCGAATAGAAGAATAAGTAATAAACTATTCTCAATAATTATAAAACAATTTTAAAGAGCGCGTTTATACGAAACTAAAAGAGAAAAGAGAGAAAATTTTACAAACATATGTTATTGATTGTATCTGATTTTGTTACAGGCAGAAGAATGCTCTAAACAAGAAGAAGTTGAAATTGAAAATGCCTCCGATTTCGCGAACGAGGAAAAGTCAAAAGGAAGATGTGAAGTCGTTGGCAGCGGACATGTGTCCGAACAGTGCTACCGACGCTGGATTTCGAACACGGGACGTGATAGTCTGACCAATTCATGATTGATACGTCTATCTTCAACCCGAATGAGAGCTCGCTATACTTGAATCGAGTTGTGAAAAAATTGGCAAAGTAAATTATAAACGCTTGTGTTTTTGCAACTGCGATAATACAGTTGATATATGGAAGAAAGAGTGCTCGCATCAATGACCTCGACTTAATACAGTGAACTGTCGTGTTTGAAGTAGGCGCAAAACTGCAAAAGCACACATAAGCTTCTTTTGCCAAGAAGCCTGTTTATACGCGTAAAACTGTGATTTACGTATCCCTATTTATGTATCAACAATTTATTGATATCCTTCGATCGTATCGATCGATTCGTATATGCAGTTAAAAATGTCTCTCTTCATGAACAAAGAAATTTCGTTCCAAAGTAATAGTTTTAAGATATAATACGTACACGAAGATCAACGATATGCGTTCAAACAACGATACTTGCTCAATTCAATTGGATTAAGTACGAAAATGGAAAAAAGTATGTGTGTCGACTAAAATAGGATTGTGTCTAGCGGTTTTCTAAAGTCTAGTCGTTCTTTCGGACTTGTAAAGTTTTGTCATACGATGAAACATCGCAACGTGTTAACAATAACTTCATCACCATTAACTGAATCGACTGGCAAATTATGAAATTCGAAAAAATACTGACTTTAACCGGAGTAGTAAGTCCACATATGTACGATATGTGAACGCGTCGGTATTCAATAGAAATTTTAGTATTATTTCGAGGACGTGTGTCTATTTATACGTAAATTACGTGTATATAGGAAAGTGATAATTGTATATAAATTAATATTATTTTCAAAAATAAGG